AAAATAAACTAAAATAAAATTTAACTAATGTAGACTAGACTAGACTAGGCTAGGATTAAAGATATGATAATAAATTGCTATGTATCACAAATAACTGTAAAGTGTGTAAATAAAGATAAACTGTAAAATGTGTATTTTCAACAAATCCAATATATACATTGGTGGTGTGAATTTGCAAGATCGGAATGGATATGAGTGGGAAAAGTGTACGATTGGAAAATAAGACAAGAAAAGAGAAGGAAAAAAATAAAACGAAAATTTAATGAAGAAAATTTTTATTCAAATAATTGATATTGAAATTGATTAATATTTGTTTTTATTTTTACTTAATTATAATAATTAAATGTTAAGATTAAAAAAATATATATATACTTTTATTATAATTTATCAGAACCAATGGAACGAAAACTATAGAAATATATCACTAAAAGGTGTAAATTTTATTCGTCTGAAAAGGTGATAATATAATTAGAAAGGTAAATGAAAGGTAAATGAAAGATTCTATTGATTTTTTCTTAAATTGAAATTTTCTTCGAAAATATATTATTTCATAATTATAATTAAGAAAGATCAATTGAATATACTTCTAATACATTTGAAATTAGTAAAAAATTAATAAAATAGACAAATATCGTTGACTGAAGAATGGTTGAAATGTATCATTGATCCAAGAATGATAAAGGATATCATTTACTGATAAAGGATATTATCCATTTTATATCTTTTCGAATAAATTACAGTAATCTTAACATTTTTGATGAGTTTATTTTCTTGTTCAAAAACTTTGTATATTAGAATTGGCAATAAAATACTCGTACTTAATTATTAGAGATATATATATTGCATGCTGAAAATTCATCGTGGAAATATTGATTAGGAAAGATTTAAATATTTTAAAATTTTGAATTCGTAATTTCAAAGTAATCTATAGTATAGAAAACATTTTGGAATTGATCAATATTCATGAAATTAAATTGGAAATTAAAATCAAATTACTTCTGATATGATTTTGATGTAAGAAATGAAAAGTATCGAAAAAAAACATAACATTTACAACATTTTACAACTTCTGATATAATATGCTTCTTTCTGTTACTTATGCAAATATAATTGAATGATACATATGAATTTAATGGTAGAAGAATGATTCAATAATGTTAAAAGAAAAAGAATTCTCAAATTGAACTGAACATTATAGAAACCTGAAGATGCCAGAGGAAACCGGAGAAGAAAAGCGATAAAAGGGAAGCATACCTTTACATCACGGTTATTTTTTTACAAATGTAATAACCTGTCTACTATAGTTTTTTGTAATAGAACAATCAATCTAACATAGGTAAGGAAGATATGGAATGGAATGGAATGAAATGAATGAAAATACGGAGGAGCGAAAATGGAAGAAGGAAGGTGAAGAAGGTGGAATGAATTGGGTATCGTAATTTATGTAAATGTAAGCGTAAAGAAGAAAAAGTTCTTATAATCAATAAATGATACGTTTTAGATTCACGATATATATATATATTTATTTATTTATATATTTATTTATATTTATTCATTTATCCTTTCAGAATTTTCCTTTCCCTCTTTCTTCTACCAATCTCATCATTTCTCCTCTTCCTATTTCCAGCTTTTGTCTTTTCATCCTTCATATGTTTTCTTTTTATCATCATCCATCCAAATATGACAGACAGATCTTAAAATTTTGATATTTTCATTGTCTATTTTTTCCTCATGAAATTTTATGGTTTTAAATTCTAAAATTGATTGATAATTTTCATGATAACATTAGAAGACATATTTTATCTTAGCAATTAAATGTAAAAAACTAATAGATTCAAAATTGATATAAATGGAATCGATCCTAAAAAATTGATTGATAATTTTAAATTAAAATAATTGATTCGAAATTAATTAAATGATCCGATCATACTTTCTTTTTTTTTTATGCAACAATTTTAATGTAAAATAATGACAACGATTGTAATCATTTTTTTTTCTACATTAATTTATGCTATAAATTTGATCATCATGTTTAACAAGAATTTTAAAATGAAATTTATATTTACAAATTGTTAACCACCTCCCCCCCCCCCCCTTCCTCTCTTTCTTCCTTCATCTTCTTCCTTTCATTTTCGCTTTTCATTCCTTCCTTCTTTTGTTCCCTTTCTATTTCAGAGGTCATCAGGGGCCAACTAAAAGGAGATGATAGGAATGAAAAAGATTGGAAGAAGAGCTTTATTGGCGAATTTTCACTATTGAAAGAATAGGAATGAGAAATGATGTTCTTTTAAAATTAACAATGCAACTGTCATTTATCATAAGAAAAAAAGGAAGACATTGAAATTTTATTTTAATTGTTTTAAAAAAAAATTTTTGAAATAAACAAATAATTTGAAATAATTTTATTTCGAATAAATTTAAAAGAATATTAATTACTATCTTATATAATTAATAAAGTATTTCAATTGTTTATTGTTAATTTTTTTTAGTTTACTGTCAATTTTTTTTCAATAGTTTATTGTTAGTTGATTACTTACTTATCATATATTACTTACTTACTGATCATATACCTTATAATGTTGATTATTTAATTACTTATCATATATTACTTACTTATCATATACCTGATGATGTTGATTATTTACTTACTTATCATATATCACTTACTTATCATATACCTTATGATATTAATTTATCATTAATTTAAAAGTACTTTATCAACTTTTCTTTCCTTTGTTTTAATCAAATAAATTTTTTACTTGCATGCTTATCATATACACCTTATATTATTAATTTAGCATTAATGTTAAAGTACTCTATCAATTGTTTTTCTTTTGTTTTAGTCAAATAAATTTTTCATTTTCACAAATTTAATAATTTATTTTTATTTTTGAAAATTCCTTAAATCTTTTCTAAACGATTTTTGAATCATTTTTATTTTGAAAAATTTTTTAAATCATTTCTAAATGAATAGATTGTTAACCTTTATCATATCAAGTTTATCATACCTTGAATATTATTTGATAAAAAAAAATTCGGAAAAATTAAAAGTAAACAAAACTGAAATTATGAAATGGATAATTTCAATAAAAAAAATATAATGAGCATTAAATAGACAATAAAGAATGAAAAAACAAAAGTGATAATGATGGAATAAAGTTTTGCAGAAATAATTCGATGAAGTTAAAGGAAGAGAGAAGAAAGGGAAAAATAATTTAATGATAATGTTTGCAAAGTAAGTTAGTTAAATTTTCTCATCGTTACACTGAAATACAAACAAATACTAAATTGATTCTATTTCAAGTATTTCAATTCAATTATATCAGGCTGCATCAATTTCACTCACAACTTTATAGCTTTTCTAAATGGAAACCAATTTTTCTTGCAATCGATCCATTTACTATAATCATTTAAATTTTAACTTAAGTCTGACTAATTTTAAATTTTAATTTTTATATTTTGAATTTTAAAATTTTAAAAGGAATTTTAAATTTCAAATTAACTCCTTTAATTTTAAATTAAGTTATCAAAATTTCATATAATTTAAATGAATAAACTGATTATCAGAATATAAAGATTACAAATACAGACATTTTAATTTAGCAAAACTATTAAGCAACATCTTGTTCATTATTGCACGATGATTGCATGAATTTATACTGTAAATTTGAAATCATACTGATTTAAGAATTCATATAACACCAGGGAATAATGATACATTTATTAGATTTTATATTTGCGATAATTTTTGAAGATAAAATTGATCGAATAATTTATCACCGTTTAAGGGATGGTATCGATTGACGAAGTTAAAGCATAATTTTGTCCAAGAATTATTATCAGTTGTGGCCAAACGATCTAAACTGTTGCTCATAATGCCAGTTGTTAAAGTATTTCGTTTAATTTATTCAACGATTGAATTAAACGAAATACTTTTCAGACTAATAGCCTGAACTTGTTTGAGATACTTGTTTAAGAGAGAGATATTTGACTTTAGTTATCACATTATTGCTACATCCAACACAAAACAATATCATCAAAATTTCCACTCAGAAATTTTAAGCTTAAAATTCAGCTTCTTTTTTACTATTCAATGATTCAGTGTAATCCAGAGCAAGGAACACTGAGTTTTATCACATTCATTACTTGAACTTTTACCTTTCTACTTTAACGACTGACATTATGAGCTACAGTTCAGATCGTTTGGCCACAACTGTTAGCAATTCAACTGATAACATTTTTAGTTGTGCCATTATGGAACACAAACATTTCTCACTTCACATAATTGATAAAAGTTAAGCGTGAAAAAAAATTATATTTTAACAATCAGTGGAATACTTCATTATTCTTGAAATGCAAGTGTATTTAGCAGTCAGATTCTTACTTTTTTAATTTTCATTGTTTTTGAAGTACAATGTGAAATTACTACTTATCTGTTAAAGTGATAGTTCAGTTGCAAAAATGCTAAAATTAAAAGTTTAGAATTGTTAATTAAAATTAATTTCCATAAGATTTAAATTCCTAAAAAGTCAATTCCAAAAATCAGACAAAAAAAACCCTTCAAATTCATTTATTTTATCGATCGCGAAATTACTCATTCGAATGATTTCAGAGTTGCGTAGCAAATTTAGTTTAGCTAATCAAATAAAAATTTCTTCATTTATTTACGTTTTTTTTTTTTTTGAAGTTAGAAAATAATAAAATTTGGAAAGTTTTCATAACATACATATAACCATTTGAACATATTTAAAAACTTTCATAATTAAAACAAACCTTTCATCCGTTAATGAGAAGAATAATTTATATGATGAAGTCGAGAAAAAAAAAATGAGAAAAATAAACAAGACAAAAAAGAAAAATTAAAAACAATAAAATTAAGGAACAATTGAAAATTTCAATCCGGTTTTACGATTTCGAGAATTATCTCTCACAAAAATGGGTGAAAGTGATTTGTGAATGAATTCATCCTTACAGCAAAATGTGGTGTATATGTTGAAACAATGCAATGGATGATGGTGTTGTTGTTTGTAATTCTTGAATTTCTTCCCGATTTTATTTATGGATGTGCACCACGATATCAGGAAGAACTTCAATATTTGGATTACTACCTTGGTATAAAACCGGAAAATCGCGGTAAACTTCAAGTTGAAGGTATGATTTTTATTTGAAATTAAATTTTGCAAGAAAAATAACTTTCAAAAGAAAATAAAACAATAAAACAATTATTATAAGCTTTATATGTTTGCTTCTTGTTAATGGATTTTGTATATGAATATTTTGAAAATTATTAGATAACCGAAAATTTTTAAATAATAATTATTAGATAATTTAATTTTCGATATCTGATATATTTTGATGATTTTGAAATTCTTTTAAAATTTTTTCCTCTCTTCAGAAACTACGCTAAAGCAATATATAAGCAGTCCAATGAAGTTAAATTGTCAATTCAGTGAACGATGCGCTTGGATGAATGCACCTGATGATAATTTATTAGATACATCGGATTTTTATTTATTTATCAAAGCAAACACTAAATTATTTCCACCACAAATTCAACCAGGATCACCTAATCCAACAAAAGGTTTTCTGTGTGAAAATAAATCATGAAAAAAGTATTCCGAAAATTATTAAAGCAAAATAAATTTGTAAACAAAATAATTATTGTAAAAAACAACAACAACAACAACAAAAGTTTGAGCTATATGATGATAAATTTAACGATTTTCAAACGAACTAAATCAATTTTAGATTGAAATCGATTATTCTTTTCAGATTAGGAATTTCGAATAAATAATTTATTTTCAGGTACGAAATTTGTTATCGCAGGTAATACAACAGTAAAACCTCAGAGTGCAGTACTTATTAGTGCACCAATTGCTTGCCAACAAGCTCCCGGATTGTTAACATTCAAGTAATTTAATTGAATATTAAAAATAAATTAACCTGTAAATTTCTACAAATATAAGCAATTTACTTTTTAAAGGGCAAGATTTATTTTCTCAAAATTTTGTGGAATAAATAGTTTATGGAATTTTCCATAAAAATTTAATTTTAATTTAAATAAAAACAAATTGTAAATCTATGAATACAATTTGAAATATTTTAGATATTGGCTATACAATGGAGCCAAAATTGAAGTGTTAATTTTAAAGCCATCTAATCGATGGAATCGTCTTCGGGTATTCACTCATTCATTGCTATAAAATATTAGTTTCAAATTTTACATTTCGTAAATGAAATGAGGATATTTATATGTTTAGGTCATTATGCGGCCACATACCGAATGCTACTTCATTCATGCTTTTAATGATCGTTGCAAAGTTAAAATACCAGAAATACCTGAGCCATTTCGAATTGGTATTCGTATGCATGGCTTAAAAGATCCAGCGTTAGGTAGCTTTGGCATGATAACCGATATTGAATATGAGGCTGAAATATGTTTGGAACCTAGTAAGTTAATGAAATTTTTTTTTTCAGATTAATGCTAAACATAATTATTATAATTGATAATTGCAAATTTTCAATAAGAAAATAATGATAAAAGATAATCTTAAACGATTGATATTACATTTATAACTATTAAATGTATTCGCAATATAATATTTTCAAATAAGTCAATCAAATAATTTATAGATAAAGCTTTCAAAATTTTAAAAGATATTATCCTTAATTAATTAATAGTGAAGTTATATTTTGTTATCAATTAAGTAATGATAATATCTTTTAAGATCTGAAAAATTACGATGAAATTACTAAAAATTTGTAAAATTAAGCGTTAATTAATAATTTATCCTTAAGAATTTTATAAATTAACATGAAGAAGTTAAAAAAATTATAACTAAAATTTAGAGTTATCAACAATATTTGGTAGTCGAACAGTTCCACCACCAATTGCCGCATCTTATCCAATTTCCGCTGCACAACTTTCCTGCGCTGATTACAATTCAACTTGCCGTTGGTCCAATAGTCTTTCATCATCATCTGAATGGAAGATCGGTTGGAATAGTCGACGATGGAATAAAATCTTTGAGGCAGAAAATAAACCAACTGGAAGCTTCTTCTATCAGTACGTCGATTCAGCCACCCAAAAGCCCTATTCATTATTGCAATCAGAACTTATTCCATGTACCAGTACCGTTACAACTTTTACCTTTAGGTTTGTTATATTTAAATTTCAATAGTTATAAAGAGTACGAAATTATCACATACAAAATTTTTATCATTAATAGAAAATTTCGTTAGCGAATAATCGCATAATTAGAGTTTTATTGAAATTCTAATATAATTTTATATTGTTGTATAATTAATGCAAACATAACAATTTAAAATTACGAAATGATGTAAGAAATGATAATTGAAATTGATTATTTATATTGATTCTTAAATAATCCATCTATGCATTTGTCGAATCTTCTAATTTAATTAATTGGGAGCAGTTATGCTGCTAAATAATTAACTCTTCGCTGAATTCAAATTTAATAAATTTCAACTTGAAATTATTTTTATTTATAGATATTGGTTACAATCAGGTACACAAGTTCAAATTTGTACGATTACTGCATCAAATGTAATAAGCAGTTGTGCATACTTAAATGAAATAACAATGCCTGGACCTATCAGCATTGATGTCGATGCACCAACTGAAGAACCTTTTCGGGTATGAAATAATCGCTTGCAAATTATATGAACCAAATTAATGTTTTAGCTTTATTATTTAAGTGATAATCGTGATACGATAAATATCATTCCATAGTTGATAAAATTAACTAATGAAATCTTCTAAAAATGATATTTATTCACTTGCAATATTTTCTCACATATTGTTACGAAATAAAATTATGTCAAATTTAATTTTACAGTTCGCCTTTGAATTAATCAATTTTGATAATTCAACATTTGGCTTTGTTGTTATCGATGATATGAAATTTACTGGTTTATTATGTCATGAAGTAACAGTGCCACCCAGTACAACAATCAATCCATCACAAATTAAGCAATTTTTCTCACTTCAACCATATTCAAATTTGTTAATCGTAAGTTAATCATATTTTATCACCTCATTAATACATCAATTAATGCATTTTGTAATATGCCATTTCAAGTTTTTTCGAAATGATAAAAAAAATTTCACGGATAATTTTTTAAATATGAATTTAAATTATTTAAAAGATTTTTTATCAATATGGAAGATAAATTTTACAACCATTTCAAATTGTTATATCGTCGCTTTTCGTATTCATTCAACCGTGTATAGTTTCCATTTCTTATTTTCATCACAATGAAGGAAGAGATAATTTTCAGTATTGCTTCTGATTCACAAAATTTCAAAATTGCATTGTTAATTTCAGGATAATATACCAACATTAAATTGTGATTTTAATCGAAATACATGTCCACAGTGGGAAAATGATGGACATTGGTTATTAGGAACAGTTCCATACGATGATACCTTTGCAATACCTCCATCAATAAGAGGCTTAAATTTTATACTGATTATTTTTTACTTTTTTTAAGTTTTAAATTTTTAAATACTTTATTTAAATTATATATTATTATAATAGCAACTATTAAACTATCGATTCATTTTATTCCGAAATCATTATCTAATCCAAATAATTGTATCAATAGCATAATTCGTAAAACTCGAATTCATATGCTTAAATATCTATTATCATGATTTATCATTTAGCTTTTCTTCCTAACAAATCATTTCTAGATCAAGTTTCGGTAGCTATTCTTAATAATTCTATGGCTATATTACAATCTCGCGAAGTACCATGTGCTTGGAATGCAAAAATTTTCATTGCATATTTTCGTACCGAAAAAGCTAGCATAACGGTGTGCATTGAGAAACGTTGTGTTAGCACTAATGATTCACGTTCTGGTAAATGATCTCTTTTAAAAGTTTCAAAAAAAATTTTTAATTTAATTATTTAAAATTATTTAAAGAATTTGATGAAGCGACGACAACAGCAATTATTGAGCACAACTAAGTATGAATAATTTTTCGATTTATTATTTTCCGGTTGGCTATCGATGAATGTTGATCGTAGGAAATCATTTTTCATTCGATTAATTGCAAAATCAACTGAACCTGGTGTTGTTATTATTCGAAAAATTGAAACAGCTGGCAATTGGTGTCCACTTCTAACATTATCACAATATGCTTGCAAAAAACTTAGCTGTACATTTCGTAATACTTTTTGTGATTATAAAATGGAAAAAAATTCACGTGCTAATATTTTATTCAACATCGATGAAAAAGGTTAATTTAATTTATTACAAATCAATCAATATTTGAATCTTTATTTAAATATTTTATTTTTTTTTTTTTTGAAAATTTTATAAAAGATCGATGTAATGCATTTGCTTTTATGATATTGCATTAATTTAATGTTTTCGACATTTTTAATGTCGAAAACATTAATTTATTGTTCAATAAATCTGGGCCTATCATTAGTGTATTAATAGTTGACAGTTTAATTTTCCATTCAATTGCATAGCTACAGTTAAAAACAAGAAATCTTAAATCATATCTAATATCATTAAAAATTAATTCCAATATTTAATTTTATTTTTGCTTAATATATTTTAGGTATTATAGCAAATATTAACAAGGGATCTGGTTTAGCCGTATTGCGATCGCCACAGTTTAAGCTTTCACGTCCGATTGAATTGCAAATTAAGGTGAGTTTTTTTAAAGAGTCTTATTCAATTTCAAATTAATACATAAAATGATATTATTAATCCTTTAATTCTTGTAATGTTTGTTAATTAGCTTAAAGAAGTTGTTAATTAGTTAATTAACTTGAAAAATGTTCAAAATACTAACAGATGCTAGTTTTCTCATTTTTCTTTTTGAATTAAGAAGATAATATAATAATACCGGTTTAAGCAAAATGTCTAAAATAAAGAGGTCATTAATTAATTGCTTAAAACAATCCCTGATCACATTACACATTTACAATTCGTTTACGGAAATTTTTCAAGTGAAGAGTTGTTTACATCCCTCTTTTCCTGATTGTCTTCTCTTCAATCCCTGGAAAAAAATCTTTCCAACAAAGAGATCAAATTAATAAACAAAAATCTTTCCATTCTCTTTTCTGCAAAGGATTAAAAAAAACTAATTAATAAACAAAGAAAAGCTTACTTCAAGATAGACGAATATATAAACTTTCATTGATTCTCTATTTATTAATCTTCTCCTATTAATGATTTCAAAAGTTTAATTCAAATTGTTGATAGCTTTCAGGTATATCAGTCAACATTCGGTTCTCAGACATTCTTATGTGGTAATGATTTTAGCAATTTATATGATTGTCAATCGATATTAGGCCCAAAAATAGAATTACCAAGAACAGAAAAAGTAATCATATCACTTGATCAGGATACACAAAATTTCACAATTGTTGCAGTGCATGATAAATTTGTTGAATTTGGTGCAGCAAAATTTATCATTTCAAATATTGAAGTATTAGATGAAAATGGAAATTTATTATGTTAAATAGATAATTGCAATTAATTTTAATTATTTTAATCATACAATGAATACTAATCTTTGAAAATGACATGAAGTAGTAAATTGCAAAATCCGATAAAATTTAAATTTAAATTAATTTTGCTCGAATAAAATTTACTATTTCATTATTTCAAAATTTCTTTCAGTGATTTTATTTCAAATTTTGTAATTATTTTTTTCATCTTTGTATTTATTCAAATCGCTGATAAGATTAATTAAATTAATAAAATTAATAATTTCTCAATTTACCATTAAGTTTTCAGTTTTCAATTGATTTATTGTTATTTATTAATTTATAATTAATCATTTTCTCTGTTTCACATGTTACAATATTAGTAAATATTTATTAACGTCTAAATTCGATAATAAAATAAATTTCCGTTTTTCAAATGAAAAATTACTGGTGAATTTTGTGGGGGATAAATTAATGGAAGAAAATGGCAATGGTATCTGGTGACAAAAAAAGATTCGTTGTAAACATTTCATAAACAAAAGAGAAATTAATGTTAGGCAAATTTTTGTTTACAAATAAATTTCATTTTAGCATCCGATTTAATTACTCAAACTCAAACTGTATCATCACACTTTATAACTATAGTAAAATCAATTTTTTAATAATGGCCTTTAATTTCAACAATTCGCATATTAGATCTTCGGAACAAAATTGTGTTGAATAAATTTCAACGTAAAAACAAAACTGTCAACAGTTATTTTCCAAAATAAAAAAACGGAACACATTTGAAATTTCATTTCTAAACATTGAACTTTTAAATCAATCATACGATAATTATATTATCACGAAGATAATAGAAACAAATTAGTTTGATGAAGAAGATAACTGGATAAAAAAGTTATGAAAAGATATACTTATTAGTGAATTCTAAAATTCGACCTAAGCAACATTTCTAAGAATCGAAATTTTGGTAGAAATGAAATTGGTAGAAATTTTTCTTTTGGAGTTCAAGAATAAAAACTGAAGTGATAATTCGTTTCTGTATAACATCAGAATCCATTTACTCGAATTTGTAAAAATTATAATTGTAAGAATAAACGGGAAAAAGTGGATGTCCACTTTTGAGATGATACTTTCCTATCATTGCGAATAAATTATTCCCGATAAAATGTTTGATACGATTTGTGGGATTTGCGATTATTGAAGGCCATCAACCTCTTCAAATCTTTTGAAATCATTTCCTATCGAATCGAAATTTGAATAATCACTTAAAGTGTAGGATTACCTTCTTAATCAATAATTTCTTAGTTAGAAAAGAAGAAGGTGCAGCTAAATGAACCATTAACTTAAACTATAAACGACAATTTCTTACGCTATACGTTCAAGAAAAAGAAAAAGAAAGAAAAGTTAAATTTGACAAAAAATAATAAATAAGAAGGCGAGACACTTCCAACTTCCACTACTGGCAACAAAGTTAAAAATTGCAAAAGTTTTGGTCTAACTTTTTATATTGATTTCAAAAGGAAAAGAAAACCTGTTATCAGATTATTTGTTGAATAAATTATTTTGTTGCAAAAAAAAAGTGTGCAAAATTTATTGGATTTCAAAAAAATGTCATGAAAGAATCATAGAAGCTAAATAAATGTTCTATTGGAAATTTCATTAAATTCAAGAATTCTAGTGAATTTTTCTTCAATTATACTAAGATTGATTGCTAATTGACCTTTGTTCATATTTCATGAACTTTTTAACTACAACATTATCATGCCAAATTATTGAAATATTTTATACGAAATATGGAAATATTTTTTTTTTATCATTTATCAATTGATTAGTTCCCAAAAAATATCACATAACTTCTTTTTACTACCAATTTCGACAATGTTTTACTTCACACTTTTTTTTCCACCACTAATTCTTTTCATGATAAACGAATGTTATGTGCGTAAGGCAGGCGTCAACATGTCGTGCATTATCTATGTCGCAAACTAATTTACCATATTTCCGGTAAACCGTTTAATGGAAATAAGCAATAAAGCAAAACCATTGAATTATTTGAATGTTGAAAAAAGAATTAATCATCCATTTAACAATATCATAAAATTTTGATATAATAAAAGAAGAAATTGTATCATTAAAAAAAAGACACATTTCTTTCGGTATATTTTAAAATTCGCACACTTCTTTTTCTTTCGAATATTTCGTTTGAAACACAATTACAACAAAAATAAACTCACACACAAAACATATGATTGAAAAATAATTTCAAATATCCATTTCAAATATTGTTTTGAATTTAAGTTTGAATTTTTCATCAGAGTATTTTGATGTATTTCGGTAAAAAAACAAATTAAATTATTAATGTTAGCAAAAGATGTAAAATATAATAAATTGCTTTAATTAATTTGCTAAATGGATATTTATAAATGTGTAAATATGAGCACTGAAACATAGAAGATCTATTTAAATGCTTTTGTTAAACAACGTGAAATATTACGAATATAATATGTTCGGGACGTCAAATATCACGTAGAAATTCAATTCCGTAATATTTCACGTTCCTAACATGTTAGACGTAGAAATTCTGCTTAAATATAATCTCCATAAAGTATGTTGAATAGAATAAGCGTAAAAAGTTTTTCTTAAAAAGGAAGATATCGTTATCAACCTATACTACTGTATGCGTTTCTTTAAACATTTTTAATCACTACTGATAACATTTTTTTTGTAAATGTTAATTTAACAAAATTAACAAATTTGATTTCCTAATGATATATTCTCAATTGAATTTAATACATTACCTAAAAATTCAGGCATTTCCTAAAAACACTTAAACACTGTCGAAAAAAGAAGGAATTGAATAATCGAAGAAATTTTAATACAGTTTAATGAAATAAGCAAAATGGTAAATAAATATTTACCGTATCAATTTTCGATACTATTATTGAAACAAATCACATTTTAAAAATAGCTAAAAACAAACAATGATACAATGAAAGTAAAATTAATAAAATTTAAAATTAAAATCCGAAATTGCAACTTTTTTTTTTGAAATTTCAAATATTGCAAAAGTCCAGAAAACTGTCACTTATCCCATTTTAACGGATAATTTCAAAAATTAATTATCGTATTATCTTAACTCAATGATTTCAAAATCAAATTTGGGTTAAGAAAAAAAATAGCAACACAAAATGCCATACATAAGAAATGTAATCTTTCAAAAAGTTATTTTAAAATATATTTGAAATTTCGAATAGTTTGATAAATTTAATTATTTCCCTCAAATTAACTCCTAAAAAATTTTCACATACCCATAGTAAAATTGCTATTAAAATATTTCATAATTTTTAAATTCATTAAAGGTAAATATTAAAACTTTCATAACGCATAAAAAGAGAAGAGAAATGTCACTGATGAAAAGATGAATTGAAAAATTTTTTGGTTGCGATAAACTTTTCATATTTGATGACAATCAAAGTTACTCAAAAATATAATGTCAACAAAAATTCGTTGCAAAAATTGAACGATTTGCATGCAGACAGATAAGGTAAGAAAGGTTCATTTGTTGGGATGAAAAAGTTAAAGTTTGATGTATTAGTCAATTGCACACATCTCAAATTGAATAGATCTTAATTTAAACCTAAAATTGAGCTCCATTCCAATTTGTCTGGAATTAAGGACACATTAGATAACTCATAAATAGCACTAAGTGACAGTTTAGCCTTATTGTAAATTTTACACGTAGTAAAATTAAACCAAGTCATATGATTGGTTGGTTTAAGGTTCAAGTGGAAAGAGAAGCCACAAATTATTTAAGCCTGAACATGAATTTTTGAATGATTTCAAAAAGTTGAAGTATTTGTTAAATATTCTATTAATTAATAGATAGATGTAAACATTAGATTTAAACGATCAGGAAGTTACAATCTCTAATTTACTATAATTGGAAATTAGTATCAGAAGAGCACGATAATTTTAAATGTTTGATGCTAATTATTTTAATGATCATTTGATGTTGTAATCTGATGGAGCTTACGTATATGCTTCTTGAGATCGAAATTACGACAAAAGCCCCTGGCGCAAATTGGACAAACGAATGGCTTCTGTTCTCGATGTGTATGCATATGAAATGTTAGATTATATGTTTGATGAAAAGCCTTATTGCATACGCCACATTTGAATCGTTTTTCACCGCTATGAGTTAATTTGTGATTCTTATAATTTCCATTTTGATGAAATCCTTTACCACACAATTCACATATATATGGTTTATAGCCTAAATTAAAATTTATATTAATTATAATTTTAACTTACTAAAAATATCATTTGTTGCATACGTTTGTTATAAACCTTTTACACTTTTGCATCTTTAAATTATAAAAATTTTCAATTTCATAACTAGACGATTTGCCAAATTATTGAAATAATTGCTACTTCAAAAGCAAAAATTTTAATTAATTAATACATTGTACTATTTTTTTTAGTAGTTTACTTTCGTTTCAATTTTAATTTATAAAGTTTAATTTGAGAAATTCAAAATCTAAATCTTTATTAATGAATAAAAATTAATTTTAGCAAATATTTGAGATAAGAATTAAAATCAGAACACACCTAAATGAATACGAATATGAGTGTTGAGAGTTGATGATCGATTAAAGCATTTGCCACAGGTGACACACTGAAAGCTTCTTAGATGGTCATATTAACAATAAAAATGGTCATTATCCATCATCAATCTATTCCTCATCTTCCCTATCTTTCGTTACTAATGCATATATAAATTATTCTTACATATATCTACCATCTTTTAATACTTCATTTTCTTCTTTTACAAGTTTACATATTCCTAAAATTATTTATCCAATAAATTCACGAAATTAATCAATGAATTGATGGATAAATTATTTAAGAGAAGAATAAAAATAAATACTTACTGTATGAGGCTTATGTTCCGTATGTATTATTTTATGGCGACATAATGTTGAAGCTTGTCGAAAAGCTTTACCACAAACCTAAAATTTCTATAATCCAA